GTGAGTGGGCCTGGGCTTCGCGGGGTGCTGCGCCACCAGCCTCAGGGTGCTGTCACTTCTCGCAAACAGAAAAAGACATCTCCGAGCTGGTGGTGTTGCAAAATGCTCTCCACTCTCCACCCCACTCCCCCCCGCAAACTCATTTTGGCTTTTCCTGAGGAGAAACAGGGCACTTATGTAACAAAGTATAAATAGGGGAACTTACATATTTTTAAATGAATAAAGGCAAACAACACCAGGCTTCCAGGTAGCGGCCTCTGTCATTTGGGTCCTTCCTGGTGTCAGGCCCTGCACTAGGCACTTGGTATGCATCTGCTCATGGAATCCTCACGCAGCCCTGCCCGGGAGGCAGGAACTGTCATTAGATAGAACATTTTCACCCAAGAGGGAGCCTGATGCTCGCATAATTCAAGTGAGGTGGCTGCCCCCTCACTCGGCACCAGCTGATGTCTTTTTTTTTTTTTTTGCCATGGTTTCCTTTTTTTTTTTTTGACATCTTTATTGGAGTATAATTGCTTTACAATGGTGTGTTAGTTTCTGCTTTATAACAAAGTGAATCAGTTATACATATACATATGTTCCCGTATCTCTTCCCTCTTGCGTCTGCCTCCCTCCCACCCTCCCTATCCCACCCCTCTAGGAGGTCACAAAGCACGGAGCTGATCTCCCTGTGCTATGTGGCTGCTTCCCACTAGCTAGCTATTTTACGTTCGGTAGTGTATATATGTCCATGCCACTCTCTCACTTTTTCACAGCTTACCCTTCCCCCTCCCCGTGTCCTCAAGTTCATGCTCTAGTAGGTCTGTGTCTTTATTCCCGTCTTACCCCTAGGTTCTTCATGACCTTTTTTTTTTTAGATTCCATATATATGTGTTAGCATACGGTATTTTTCTCTTTCTGACTTACTTCACTCTGTATGACAGACTCTAGGTCCATCCACCTCACTACAAATAACTCAATTTCGTTTCTTTTTATGTCAGAGTAATATTCCATTGTATATATGTGCCACATCTTCTTTATCCATTCATCTGTCGATGGACACTTAGGTTGCTTCCATGTCCTGGCTATTGTAAATAGAGCTGCAGTGAACATTGTGGTACATGACTCTTTTTGAATTATGGTTTTCTCAGGGTATATGCCCAGTAGTGGGATTGCTGGGTCGTATGGTAGTTCTATTTGTAGTTTTTTAAGGAACCTCCATTACTGTTCTGCATAGTGGCTGTATTAATTTACATTCCCACCAGCAGTGCAAGAGTGTTCCCTTTTCTCCACACCCTCTCCAGCATTTATTGTTTCTAGATTTTTTGATGATGGCCATTCTGACTGGTGTGAGGTGATACCTCATTGCAGTTTTGATTTGCATTTCTCTAATGATTAGTGAGGTTGAGCATCTTTTCATGTGTTTGTTGGCCATCTGTATATCTTCTTTGGAGAAATGTCTATTTAGGTCTTCTGCCCATTTTTGGATTGGCTTGTTTGCTTTTTGATATTGAGCTGCATGAGCTGCTTGTAAATTTTGGAGATTAATCCTTTGTCAGTTGCTTCATTTGCAAATATTTTCTCCCATTCTGAGGGTTGTCTTTTCATCTTGTTTATGGTTTCCTTTGCTGTGCAAAAGCTTTTAAGTTTCATTAGGTCCCATTTGTTTATTTTTGTTTTTATTTCCATTTCTCTAGGAGGTGGGTCAAAAAGGATCTTGCTGTGATTTATGTCATTGACTGTTCTGCCTATGTTTTCCTCTAAGAGTTTGATAGTGTCTGGCCTTACATTTAGGTCTTGAATCCATTTTGAGTTTATTTTTGTGTATGGTGTTAGGGAGTGTTCTAATTTCATACTTTTACATGTAACTGTCCAGTTTTCCTAGCACCACTTATTGAAGAGACTGTCTTTACAGTTGCTGGGGTGGAGGCATCCAGGGTGGAGGGCAGGGGCTTTGACGTCAGACAGACACTTCATTCATTCACTCACACACTTAACATACATCTCCTGATGTATACGCCTCTGCTCCGATGTCCCCTCCTCAGAGACGCCTTTCCAGACCATAATATAGCAACCCTCCAGCTCGCGAGCCACCCCACTCTCTACCCCATGTTATTGTCTTTATAGCAAAAATCACCCCTGGCTCTTTTATCTGTGTATTTCTTTCTCTAGTATCTGGCCTTTCCACTAGAAATATAACCTCTGCAAGAGGAAGCCCTTGGCTTATTTTGTTTGCTGCTGTATCCCTCACACCTGGAACAGAGCCTGCTACAGAGAAGGCACTCAGTTAATGTATGTCAAGTCAATGAATGAGTGAGTGAATGAATGAATGAGTGAATGAAATGGGCTCTCAAACCCGGGCCTCTCTGACTTCAAAGCCCCTGTCCTTTACCATGAGAGACGACTGTCTTCTTCCAGTGTCCCACCCACCTTGCTGCTGAGTTTGACCCAGTGGCTTTGGGCAATTCACCTCCTCTCTCTGGGCCTCAGTTTCCTCATATATAAAATGAGAATGTTGCTAGGATCCCTCAAACTTTAATATTCCAAATGTTGGACTCTGCTGTCACATGAGCATATTCACTGGGCACATACGGTTCTAGTCATGATTGAAACCCAGCCCAGTGTCTCAGCTTGCAAGTTTGTACCAGCACTTTGCTTCCTGCAAACCCAATGGCCTGGGAGGACCCCGGGCCCCCATCCTGCAGTGCAGGATGTTCGTGCACATCAGTGATGTCTTGGGAAGGAGGAAGAAGCTTATATTGAGCTGATGCCTATGGTTTCCGTGATGCTGCTGCGGGTATCCTTCTCTGGATTTACCAGAAGGTGTTCATTTTGTCCTTGAGCCCACTTAGTTTAAAATGATGCGTTCCTCCCCTCCCCCCTGCTTCTCCTGCTGGTGACCAGAGCTGCCACTCACTAATCTATTTATGGGGAAATTAGAGAATTTATGTTCTCTGCTTGGTCAGCCTCAAGATAAATTCTGCAGACTTGCAGGAATCCCCCTCGGTTTTCTCCAGTCGTGGCAAGATGAACAGTACGTCATATCTCACGCACAGCAGATTGTTCTGATCGGATCCTGCTGCAGGCTGGTACCTGTAGGGAGGCTCCGGGCTAAGGTACCTGGTGATTGTGGTTGCAGGAGGGACCCACCCTCACCCTGCTCCCCATCTCTAGTTTTTAATAAAACTCTTGACGTAAGCTGAGGAGAGATGGGGTAGCTGGACAAGCAACCACTGCATGTGCCTTAGGTTTTGTCCTCCATTTGAGAGCCTGGGGACAGGGCCCTACTGACTGGGGAGGGGGAGGGGCTTGTCCTGGCGGCCCAGGCAAGAGCACAGGCCTCCCCCTTGCACAACTCCTGGGGGCACCATTGGCTTCTGTAGCACAGGCACCGTAGCAGCCCGGGGGGAGGCTGAGGGCTGGAGGGGCCACAGACACAGAGTCCCACCTTGGAGCACCCTCCAGGACATGATGGAGTGTTCAGCTGACCCACTGTAAAGTTGAGTCCCAACAGAGAGCTACATTTCTTGTAGGGAATTCTGAGGTCTTTCAGGCAGGCTGGCTCTGTCCCAGTCACTCCAAAGCCCAAGACCCTGGCTGTGCCTGAGGTGGAAGGGGACAGTCCCTAAAGAATCACTGTCCCCCTTAGATGAGGAGAGCAGGGAAGTGTCACCTGCTTGTGTAGTCCGAGGCCTGGCCTGGGGAGGGCTGGCTAACCCCACAGACCAGGGTGGACAGTTGTCCCCATCTGCCAGTCCTCCCAGCTTCATTACGTGTGTAACGGGATCTGGCCAGCCAGGTCTCCTTGAAGGTCCTTGTGGCTGGAGTCAGCCAGGAGGTCTGGGTCAAGCCCAGCAGGACGGGCATCCCTGCACGCTTCCGCTACAGAGGGACCTTGCCCAAGAATTCAGGTGGCACGTGCGAGGAGAACAGAGGCAGCTCCTTCCCTTAGTAATGGCAGAGCCGGATAATTTACATCCCTAGAAAGATGCAGGGCAACTGCCGGCCGGGGTGTATGTGGTTTAATTTTAAATCCTCCAACCTTCCCTTAATGAGGAGGTGCTTCAAAACAAGCAGAATGTTGGGATCCTTCAAAGGACTCATCTCCTTGGTGCTTTCTTTGTTTAAGGGAAAGCATGATACACGATGGGGAATTGCAGGAGTAGGGAGGGTTTTGCCTCCCCCGCCCACGTTGTGCAGACATTATCTGCTGTAAAACTGTCACTGAAGGATGGAGAACTGGCTCTTGGCTGTGGTGGCCTTCAGATAATGTCACTGCTGAGTGATGACCCAGGATTTGTTGGCACTGAGCAAACATCTCTAGGGCTCTGCTGCCAGAATCCTTAGCTGAGCCCGGCTGGTGCTCCTGCCTGGGATGCTGGTGTCCAGAGGCTCCATGGTAAGAGCTGTAGGCTTTTTTTCCCCCAAGCATTAATGTCCCTCTGAATCACCAAAGGTTTTGTAGAAATACAGAGAATGATTCAGTAGGTCTGGGGTGGGCCTGAGAGTCTGTGTTTCTGACAAGTTCCCATGATGCCACTGGCCCCAAAACTGCATTTTGAATGCAGGCGCTGGCTTCCTGGGTCCCACCAGGTGGTTTGACTAAATAGAACACAAGAGGGCTAGGACTTGGCTATACCCTGTGCTGCCCTGGGCAGGGAAGGCAGTGGAGGCTTCCAGATGTTCTTGAACATTCTAGGATCTGTGGTTATGAAAGGGGTCAATGTTGTCGTGGACGACCCCTTATTTGGGTTTGGTGTATGATGTTGCTTCTTTCGTCCCATTAGGCTTGCCTTTCTGATGATGCTCAGGTAAGAAGGCCAGTGGGGAAACTGAGTGTGCAGACCTCGAGCTCCTCAGCGGGCACCTCAATGGGGAGGAAAGCGAGCTCGATGTCCAAGGCCACTGAGCAGCCTCTGAGTGAATGACGGGGAGTTGATGAATTGATTGGGTCGTGTCCACTTGGGCTCCCCACCTCTCTGGCGTGGTCAGCTAATCCTCTCCTGCTCATCTGGTTTCAGAGGTCCCTGGATGAGAAGGAGCTGACAGCGGCCGAGTCCCACCTTCTCTGCGTGCTGGGGAGCAGGGCTGCGTCGCCCAGGTGGCCCAATGCCGAAGAACAGCAAGGTGACCCAGCGCGAGCACAGTAGTGAGCATGTCACGGAGTCGGTGGCCGACCTGCTGGCCCTTGAGGAGCCTGTGGACTACAAACAGAGCATCCTGAATGTGGCCGGAGAAGCAGGCGGCAAGCAGAAGGTGGCGGACGTGGAGGACCGGCCGGCCTGGAACAGCAAGCTGCAGTACATCTTGGCCCAGATCGGCTTCTCTGTGGGCCTTGGCAACATCTGGAGGTTCCCCTACCTGTGCCAGAAAAATGGAGGAGGTAAGAGGCAGCCCTGCTTGCCCTGGGGGTGCCCTGCCAATGGGCCGGGCTGAGGGGAGAAAAGAAACACCCCTTTGTGAGGCAGAACCAGAGCCCTCGTAGGTTGGAGCTCAGAACTCGAGTGAGACCCCCCCCAGGAAGAGCTAATGGCTAACAGCTCTCAAGAGGCTGCAGGCATGATGATAAGAATGTGGGCTCTGGCCCTAGACAGCCTGTGTTCAAATCCCAGTGCAGCCACTGGGACCCTGTGCAAGTTGCTTAATTTCTCTGTGCCTTGCTGTTCTGTGTTTGTAAAATGGGAATAATAGTAGTTCCTGCCTCACAGGACAGTTGGGAGAATTAAATGAGCTTTACATGTAGAATGCTTACCACTGTATCTGACACAGTAACTCTTGGCCATTGTTACTAAATGCGTATTACTGCTGGGCACTGTTGTGAGCACTTCCTGGATATTAGGCTGAAATACATGAAACTGCTGATATGTGAGTGTCTTGGAACAGCCAAAGCACCAATTTCATATGGTTCAACCATCATATCCTCCCAAAAAGCCTATGTGAGGAAGAACTATTCTCATCCTCACTTTAGAAACTGCAAAACAGGCACAGAGAGGTTAGATCACTTGCTCAAGTCACACAGCTAGTGATAAAGTCAGGATTCAAACCTGGACAGCTTGGCCCCAGAGCCTGAGCACTTAATCACTATACCCGCAGCCTCCCAGGTAGAAAGGGTCTTCACGCTGCCCCCTGAGTTTCAGTCCCCCCAGAGGATCCTGCCCGTAGTATCAAACCCCTTCTACTCAATATTTCTAGCTCCCAGGGAGGGTAGAAGCCCACAGGCCTTATCCCCCAGCACCTGAATGCAGGCTAGAAAGTTCCAAAGGCAACTTGCTTCGAAACCGGGGGGAAACTAACCAAAAATAAGCAAGGCAAAACCCAATGGACTGAAAACAATGACGCTTCCAAGCTCAGACCTCTGGTCCTGGGAAAGTGATTTGAGTCAGAAGACAGCTTTCATGCCCCTGAGTCCCTGTGCCCTGGGACTGCCACACTCCAGCCTGAAGGTGTGGCTGCCACTTTGCAGGCATTTTAACCCTGCTGACTCCCTCGCTGCCCCGTGGGACTCTCCTCCCAGTGATGGAGCCCTATTCAGGGACCCTCCCTCCTCTCTGGGACACCCTCCCTGGTCCAGAAAGCAGAGTCTGGCTGGAGGCTTCCCCTCCTTTGCGGTTTCTAGTGAAGGGCAGGGAGTGAGAATGCCCGCCTGACTTAGGCCAGAAACTTCCATCTCGCCACCAGGGCACAGTCTATTCCCCCTATGCTCTCTTTGCTTTGAAGGATCTTTTTTTTCTCCCCCAATCAATAATTGCCGAGCAGAGCTTTCAGTCTGTATGGCATGGCCAGGCCCAGGTGGCTGAGTTGATATAAGACCAGCCCAAAGCAAAGATACAAATGGAAGTGTGTGGTTCCCTTAAGTGCTGTGAGATGTTAAGAGCTCAGAGTACCCGAAACAACTTTGGAGGACACGTTATATTTGGGGACTCCGGCTGGCAACCTGCAACCTTGTCCTTTGTGGCCGAGATAATCAGTCTGCCTGAGCACTGATGCTGAATCACAGAGTCCTTCTCCCCACTACACGTTCTGCCCGCGCCGCCGCTCCCCCGGGCAGCGTTCTTGCCAAAGTCTGTTAGTTTCCAGTGTCACCAGACAGTTGCCACGGCACCAGACATCACGAACAACCCCTGGAAGAAAAGCGTTGTCGGGTCTCAGGACTCTGAGCTCCCCATCCCATGTTCCTACCTTCATTTTCCCATCCTTTCTGACTCCTGGAATCCCTCTTTATCTCTACCTTTAACTCTCCAGTATTTTACCGTTTTTATAGTAAGTCATCTTAAATGTATTTTGGAAGGAGGCAAATTATCACAGGAAGGAGATGATTGGTCTGAGAGTCAAAACTCTGGCTTTGAGCCCTGGGTGATCCAGTCAAAATTACTTAATTTTGGATGGAAACTCTGGAACTCTGCCCAGCTCTGCCAGATGTTGACAGTTTATTCTGCATCCTCTCAGTTTGCTTTTTTTTCTCTTTATTTTTATGAGAAGGAGGCAAATGGTCATCAGGTGGTTACTATGGGTAAGTCACTCATTTAATCCCCACAACAGCCCTGTGCAGTAGGTATACAGTTGAAGCATATGAAATGGCCATTTTCATAAGTCAAAAATGATCAAATATCAGCAATTTCATATGGTTCTACTTAATATTTTCATCCTCTTTACATAGATGGCAGAACAGTGGCACAGAGAGATCAAGCAATTTGCCCAAAGTCACACAGCTAGTAAGTGGCAGAGCCAGGATTCAGACCCAGGAGGTCTGGCTCCGTGGTCTGGATCTTAACCCCTACTCAGTGTGCATCTCAACAGGTTGAGATCGAGATGGTCTTTCAAGGCCCAGGAATAACCTTGGGGTTTGCAAGAAGCGAGACATGTATAGACATGTCACGCAGCCTCCCGGGTTTTGTATTTCACCCGCAAGTCCTCAGGTCGGGCAAGATGTGCAGGGAGATGTGTCCCTGTCCTTTCCTGCAGGTCACTTCTCTCCTCTTCTGCATGCCTGAGCCAGAGACCAAGAGACAGAACTAGGTTAAAAGACAGAGCCAGGGGTCCTTCAGGCCCTCCTCCTTTTAGGATCGTGATACAGCAGGTTGTTAGTGACAAGTGGAATTTATGTGTGCACGTGACCCTGTGCACCTGTGTGTTTAATGTATTAGATGCTGTTATATGAGGTGTGGGAGGTTGCTCACCTGGAAGCCTCTCCTGATTAGCTCCATGGGACTCACACCCCTCCCTCAGGACACACGTGCTCAGTTGGCCGTGTGTGATGTGTGTGCATGCACTGACATTGCTCGTGTGAACCTGAAGGTCCCGCAGCTCTCTTGGGATAGCGTCTGTGCCTTCTGTTGCCTGATAGCCCCACTGCACACACCTGGTACAGAGTAGATAACAGCTGACTGTTGCCAAGTGCCGGGTTGTGCGCCCCGGAGATGCCCGACCCCCTGGACTCATTGGCAGTCTGGGCACATGTTGGAGGGACAGGTGTCCACGGAATATGTCAGGAGGTGACTGTGTCTGTCTCTGAGTCTAGCCTCATGAGTGGGAGGCATTGCCATACATCTGGATCCTCCTTTAGTGTTTCGGGTCAGGGGAGCCAAGGGCTGGAAGGAGGTCTGGGCGGCCAGCGTGTGGTAGGTCGCACGTGTGAGCCAGACCGTTCCTGGAGGAGCACAGGGACTGGTGACGGTTTGAGGATGATTGGAGATGTGGCCAATGCTATGGGACCTGGCTGCCACCCCTCCCTTACCCTGCTGCTGTGCTCCAGACACCCTCCGACATCCCTCCCTCCTCCCCAGGTGCCTACCTGGTGCCCTACCTGGTGCTGCTGATCATCATTGGGATCCCGCTCTTCTTCCTGGAGCTGGCTGTGGGCCAGAGGATCCGCCGCGGCAGCATCGGCGTGTGGCACTATGTGTGCCCCCGCCTGGGCGGCATCGGCTTCTCCAGCTGCATAGTGAGTCGGGGGCTGGTGGCGGGCACTAGCCAGGAGGCAGAGGGGCTGCTCTTGGGCACAGGGTTTACAGACCAGAGTCCTGGGCGGGGGTGAGGGCAGGGAGGGAGACTCTCATCATGAGAATTGCGTCCAGCTGGTGTCTCAGGGCCACATATTTCCTAAACCGGAAGTCGGCACCACTCTCTGATGGTCTAATATTTGGGGTTATTATGAAGGAAGGAAGGCCTGGGACATCTCCGCCAGAGTTCTCTGGGGACATGTGGACCATCTCAGATTCCCCTTTCTGCCTACCAGCCCCTCAGCTCTCTGTGAGGGAGGCCCGTCCTTTTTCCTGGGTTAAAGAGTATTTTATTTGGGTAAGTGGGTGGCACGAGGAAAGGCAGCCCCGGGGTATGGCGTCTCCTTGCCAGTTTGCCGTGCGCATGAGCAGACTGGAGAAGGACTCAGGAGCCTGGGGCTGACCCACGAGGGGTGAGGCTTTGGAACAGTGGGAGACAGGGAGACCCCACTGGCCTGGATGGGGAACTCCATGAGAGCTCCAGGCTGATCCACGGGGCAGCAGACGAGGCCCTGCTTAGCTCTCTAGGTGAGGAAACTGAGCCTCCCTTAAGGGCAAAGCCCGCAGGTGCCCATGCTCACACCTGGGATAAAAACTGGAATCTGCTTCTGGAAGGGACTGAGGATCTGTCAGCCCCGGCAGCAGGGCCAGTCCAAACCTGCCTCACTCAGCGCCTGGGAGAGATCACCTCTACACAGGTTGACATGGCTGGGGCTGGCCAGGGTGTATACGCATGAGTGTGAGTGGTCTGCCCCTTGGACTAAAGACATCCAAGTTAAGATGGTGGGTGTCTCTCCTTCTGTATTCCACATAAGGTGCGCCGTAGGAGTGTCTGCTTGTGCATACCCGGGCTTGGGTGAAATTAATAAAACGAGGGGCTCTCAGCTCTCACACTGCCCGGCAGTGTCACTGATGCATCATGTAGTCGGGCCCCTGGAGGTAGAAGGGATCTCTTGACATCCAAAGTGGATGCAGCAGATCTCTGCATGTAAAAGCATTGCTTTCAGAGAAACCCCTCGGACCCTCAGTCAGAATCCATGTGCTCCTGTTTTCAATACAGTTCTACCAAGGTTGGTTAGCACATTTCCAAGAACGAGAAGTGATGTCTTTCTAGAGACAGACTGCTGACAGTACCAAAGAGAAAGTAGCATCCTGAGAGAAGGAAAGACATGGGAAGCCAATAAGAAGCATTTACAAAACCTCAAAAAGCACAGCCGTCTGGGGCCGTTTACTGTAGCGGCAGTAGCTGTACATGCCTCCATCGCCCTGGAGGGCAGCTCTGAATTGTAATCCTGAGTCATCAGGAAATGATGGGGAAGTGCTTCAAGCATCTTAGAAGAATTTCAAACTGGAGAGGATTAACATTTTAAGAGTTTACTGCTTACAGGAGAGAACTTTAATATCTGAAACATTCCTCTGTGGATTCCCCAAATAGCAGATGAGTGGAGGATTAGGAACAGGCCCTCAGCTGCCACTGTTCCAGCATCCCATCCCTTCTCCTCCTCCTCCAAGGCTGTGCGTGGGGAGGGGGTGGGGGTGGAGTTGCCTGTAGCCTCTGTGACCCCCATAGACCCCCGTCTGCAGGTCTGCCTCTTCGTTGGGCTGTACTATAATGTGATCATCGGGTGGAGCATCTTCTATTTCTTCAAGTCTTTCCAGTACCCGCTGCCCTGGAGTGAGTGCCCTGTCGCCAGGAATGGGACCGCGGCAGGCAAGTATGGTTCTTCTGAGGAACCCACCTGGGGATTCCAGCCAGCGCTGTCCCAGGAAGGAGTTGAAGGAGCCTAAGAGGCTAAGGCACAGATTTGGGATTTCATTGACTTGCTGTGCCACCTACCCTCTCTGATGCTCATTTCCCCTTCTGATGATCTCTTGCCAGCCTATCCCACAGAGTTCTTACAGGGATTGAATGAAATAGTGAGTGTAGGTATAACTCCGGAGACTGTGACTTTCGTTTAGTTATTATTAACTACCCTATGTTACTCTAATACCATCCTATCTGGAAACAACCTTAATTTGCATGCAAGTCCCCTAAAGGGCTGGCTGACTTATCCCACCCACAGATGGGTAAACTGAGGCCCAGAAACAACTTTCCCATGGTCACACCACTGATTTAACCAGGGATCAAGGACGAGAATGCAGGTCTCCAGCTCCTCGCTCAGAACCGTTCCCAAGGAACTTGAGGCCAGTTCTGCCTAATCCTTCCTGCCCTCCATGGATGGATGTGGGCAGGGGGATGCCATGAGTGGGAATTCGGTCAGATCAGTATATCCTGAAGCCTCCCAGGCCCCTTGAGAGCCCAGGAGTCCTCAGGGTCTGCCAGATCCTGGCTAACCCAGAACGATATCATTCTTCCCTGCTTCCCTGGGTGGGGGTCAAGTGGAGGAGGTGGTCCCACAGGCCCCTCCACCGAGGCCCTGTGGCCTTTGCTGCCGTTTCAGTGGTGGAGCCGGAGTGTGAGAAGAGCTCGGCCACTACCTACTTCTGGTACCGAGAGGCATTGGACATCTCCAACTCCATCTCAGAGAGCGGGGGCCTCAACTGGAAGATGACCCTGTGCCTCCTCGTGGCCTGGGGCATCGTGGGCATGGCCGTCGTCAAGGGCATCCAGTCCTCGGGGAAGGTGAGCGGTTGCGGGGGGCACCCACACTTACACGGGGGAGGGGGTGCCGCAGAAAAGTGTGGAAGGCAGGGGTGGAGAACTCTGGGTCGCCCCTGCAGGGTTCTTTGGGTGGGCCTGGCCTCTGGATGGCTCAGGATGAGGACACAGGCCTCTGAGGAGGTGATGGGAGCATCATAGCCACAGTATTGTTCCCTGTGGACAGCCCGCCAGGGATGGGCTTGTGGAAGATCACTGCCTTGACCCCAGCTGCCTCCGTGCTCACATAACTCCGGGTTGCTCCCACAGACTTTAAAGAGAAGGAAAACCAGGAGTACTGAGCTAGGACATTCGGCTAGACCCTAGCCCCTCAGCTTCCCTAGCAAGAGCCCTGGAAGAGCCTGCTCAGCAATATTTGGTGAAAACCAACAGCTCAATGTATCTACAACTAATGAGCTCTGGGAACGGGTGGGTGCTGTGAGTGAAGGGGGCTTTGGGGGCCTCTGAGGGTGCAGACCAGCCAGGCCCCACACACACGTTCTCCCAGTAGGTCAGATTCCCTTCAAATAAGGGCCCTTTCTTCTTTGTCATGTGTACCCGTATTCGTGGACTGCCAGGGCTGGAAAAGATATTAGAGATCCTATAGCCCAATCCACCCATTTTACAGATGAAGAAACTGAGGTTCCAGAGGTGGGGGGAAATATCTCACCTGAGATCAGGCAGCCAGTCAGCCCCAGGGCTGGAACTAGAATCCTGGCTGTCTGTCTGAGGCTCCAGGCTCTTTGGCGGATTTGACGAGCAGGGAAGCTAAGCCCTGGAAAGGTGGCGTGGTCTCAGCCACCACTTCTTCTGTCTCCAAAGGCCAAGATAGTAGCTGGCACATCGTGGCACTGATCAGGCACTGCCACCTGTATGAGTGCATTTGGGCCACAACAATCTTAGGAGTTAGGAGTTATTTTACCCACTTTATATATGAGGAAAGGGAGGCACCCCGAAGTTAAATAAATAGCTCAAGGTCATGTGGTTGGAAAATGGCAGTCAGGATCAGCACTCAGGTGGTCTAGCTCTGGACCTGCGTGCTTTTAACCTTTACACCATCCTCCCTGAGCAGCCTTCTTGGTTTGTTTCAGTGCAGCCAACTTTTTGTAAGCATCTCCTTTGTGGGAGGCTCTGTGCCAGGCCCATGGAGATATAGAAATGTTCAAGAAATGCATGTGCTAGGAAGTAACATTTAATTTATAATCACAAGAGGCAGGACCTTCTTCTGATGCTTTTGCTTGGGAGCCGTGCCTATAACCTCCTGAATGCCTTCTGTCAAAGGGGCTCTAAGGACAGGGGAGATCTTTAGGGGGTCCACTGGAGTCAGGGACAGAAAAGCAGGCATGAGATATGAACAGACGAAGAGAGGAGAGAAAAGGGTTCCTCACCCCCTTGGGGGCCCTTGGGGGCGCGGAGGCTGTGAGCCCAGCCCCACCAGCCCTTGAAAGGAGGAAACAAGCCTCAGGCACAGCCATGCTGACTCCAGCTCGTCTGTGTGGCTGCTTCTGCCTTGGCTCGATGCCAGACGTGCAGTGGGTTTGGCCCCGTGCCCAGGGGTCCCGGGGCTCTGCTTTCTGCTGCCATCAGAGGAGGCGCGTGTACCCCAGCTGCGAGCAGGGAGGCGGATGCCAGCTGCAGGAGGGGCTCTGGCCCACAGTGGGTCCCTGTCCTCTCTTGCAGGTGATGTATTTCAGCTCCCTCTTTCCCTACGTGGTGCTGGCCTGCTTCCTGGTCCGGGGGCTGCTGCTGCGGGGGGCCGTCGACGGCATCCTACACATGTTCACTCCCAAGGTAAGGGCCTCGGGCTCCCCAGGAACACGGACAGCTCTTCTGGGCCTCGTCTGCTTCACGCAGTTTAACGCTGCCTGAGGACGTGCTGTGTGGCGGGCACTGTGGTGGGCGCTGGAGGGAGGCACCAGGGAGGCTGCCCGTGTGGTTCCAGGGAGAGGGACAGGGCAGGGACACCACATCAGTATGGGTGAAATTAGAAGAAGCTTCAGGGAGGAGATGATATCCGAAACGAGCCTCAGGGAGCAGATAGGATTTCAGTGGGCGGCAGTAGGACGTTGCAGTCAAAGGAACTGTATGAGCAACAGTGTGGAAAAGCACTGGGCGTGCTTGGGGCCATGGTGTGAAGTCAGTTTTGGCTCGGGTGTGGGGGGTAGAGCACGGTTTCATTGAGTAGATTTGTGACAGCAGGAACCACGGAGATGCCTAAGAGAAGAAGCTCCCTGGGAATCCCAACTTGTACCCCAATCGGGGGAATGAGGTTACGATCTTATTAAAGATAAAAGACCACGTGGATAGAGATTTTTACCCTTACCAAAGCTATCCACATCTCTCATTAGATCCTCCCGGTAGCCCAGTGAGGGATGAGCAGGACCATGGTGCACGGTGTCCTGAAGGTGGACACCTATACTCCTTAGGAAAATGGAAACAGCCAGTTTCCTAAGCATGGTCTCTGCCCACCAGGTAGCCCTGCCTCTCTGTTGCCCTCCAGACCACTGGGCACAACTGGCATGAGCCAGTCCACTGAGGAATAAGAGAATTTCAGATGCAGAAACGGCATGCCCTTCAATGTAACCCTAAGCAAAGTACATTAGTCGCCCCAGCAGGCAGGCTGGGAAGTCCACCTCCAAATGCCAGCAGATCAGTAAGCAGCATCGGGGGCCTGGTGAGGCTCCAGTCCACAGGCACAGGGTCAGAACCCTGCCAGGCCAGCTTAAGGCCCTCAACACTGTCCCTCAGTAGTGCCATCTCACTCATGTGTGCGCACACACACACACACCCATACACACATACACACACATACACACACGCATTAATGCTTACACAGAAGGTTCATACAAATGGCACAGGGAGAAGAATCCAGATCTCGTGGGGTTTGAAATCCCTGTTCCCTCCCAATGGCCCTGCTCTGCAGCTGCAAACAGCCCCTGATGTTTGGGGCTGGCGAAGGTGGGTAGCAACGGGCAGGGCATAGATCCCTCCATATCCACTGGACAGAGCATAAAGGGCCCTCAGCGTTCTTGGATGTAACATCCGAGGTTTCTACGTGAACAAGCGCGGAGGTCCGCTGTATGGAGCACTTAGTGAATCTTCCGAGGCATGAATGTGACTACCAAGCCACTTGGCTGGGGCAGGGTTGTTGTGAACATGTGATGTCTGACAAAGAAGAGAAAAATGCAAACCTGGTTTCTTTGGGGGAAAACAGCCGTGAGACAAAAGCCGATGGTTTTTATGAATGAATTCAACTGTATTTCTAGAACCGTGATCAGTCTAATGTGTTCACTTGAGTCTTTCCGTTATACTTTATTGAGCTTTATGAGAAAATTATATACTCTGGAGATGTTAATAAACATGGAGATTCACACAGGTCTCCAAACGGTCCCCTGGGTGGTGCTAAGAGAGCCTGGTACGTAACTCAGAAGCCAGTGGAACCGATTCATAAGATCAGTTGCCAGTCCCAGCACACACAATACTGCTCCCCTTCTGATTCAGACACTCTTTAAAACATTTTTTTAAGTGAAACATCTCAGACATATAAACACACATATAATAATATAATAAACATTCTTAAGAAATAAAATATTACAGGTGTCATAAAAGTGCCCGTGTAGCCAGCCCTCATCCCATTCTCTTCCCTTCCCTAAAATAACCACTCTCTTGAATTTGGGGTTTAACCTGCTAATACATTTTTAAAATTTTGTAATACATATATGTGTATACTTAAACAAGATATAGCATTATGTGCGTACTTTTAATCTTTTTTGTATCATATGCAACCTTCTGCAACTTGCTTTTATTTTTGCTAATCACTCTTTTTTGAGATTTTAGCTATATTGATATATGGAGGTCTAGTGCATCCATTTTCATGGCTGTAATGTATTCCACTGTGGCACTAAACTAAAATTTATTTATTCATTCTCTAGTTGATGGTCATTTAAGTTGTGTCCAGTTCTCACCATTGCTAATAAACATTATGACACAGGTCTTCATGTGCACACATTTCTCTCGGGCGTATATGTTTTGGAGTGGAATTGCCATCTTAAAGGGTCTACGTGTCTTCAGTTTTACTAGGTGTTGGCCGAGTTGCTCTCCAAAGTGGCTGCATCTATCGATATTAACACTCCCACCAGTTGTATGTGAGAGTCCCAGTTGCTCCACATGTATTACATTGCAATTTTTGCCAATCAGGTGGATGCAAAAAGGTTGATGTACACTTTGAATAGCAGGGGCACTCCTTTCCCAAAGCTTTTCCTGGATGTTCAGGAAACAGTGTGGTTCCACTTTAGCATTTGCAGAGGCCCCGAGTCTTCATGAGGTGAAACTTAAATCCAGAAGGCCCTAGAGGAGCCAGGTCACCAAGAACCAGCAGGTGTGGTCCCTGGTCCGTCTAGCTCTTGTGACCTTCAGGTATGGATAGAGCCTATGGGGCCCATCTTGAGACCTTGTCCACGGAGCAGTGCCATGGGGCAGCTCCTGCCCTTGACCCTGGAGGGATGTATTGAGCAGGGAAGGGGAGGCTTGAGGGCTTCAGAGGCCAAACCCCTCCATCAGGGATCTCCTTCACAGCCTGTGTCACCATTTGTTTTAGGCAGATGAGGCCCAGTAGTGATGGCTGGGGTGAAGTTCCTGTTTACAAATCCTTCCAAGTCATCTGCAAAAAGTGTGGACCTACTCTCAGACACAAATGTCTGACTGTCCATACATGGCAGGCTACTGTTGAAGGGCTGGGACTGTTTCAGCATGGGCTTGGTGAGATATGAGGAACCCGGGAGCCTTTTCAAGTCCTGGCTCTAGTATAGTGCTGTCGAGTGCCAGGGTCGCTGCACACAGCTGCCCAGCCTGTGCACTGCTCCATTCATGTTGACCGAAATGTAAATGACATCACCAGGGGTCATGCCACTTGGCAGCCATGGGACAGTCCAAGCAGATTTTTGTCCAGGGCATCTCAGAATCCACCTGAAAGAAGCATAGGCCCTCCGTGGGTATCCTGAATAACCAGGAAGATGTCCCCTGCTATAAAATCTTCCAACATCAGAAATAATCCAAGCTAGAGGACCTGGGCTCTCAGTCCATGCCTTCAAGCAGTTATTAAGTGTGATGAATGCAGTGTGGCCAGGATACCATGATGACCCACTAGCACTTTTTTGTGTGTGTGTGGTACGCGGGCCTCTCACTCTTGTGGCCTCTCCCATTGCGGAGCACAGGCTCCGGATGCGCAGGCTCAGCGGCCATGGCTCACAGGCCCAGCCGCTCCGTGGCACGTGGGATCTTCCCAGACCGGGGCACGAACCCGTGTCCCGAAACCGTGTCCCCTGCATCGGCAGGCAGACTCTCAACCACTGCGCCACCAGGGAAGCCCCCACTAGCACTTTTGATGGGGACAGTAGCTCATGTTAATGGCTAACGAACTTCTTGAATTCCTTGGGCTACTTTCTGGATTCTTCTTTCCATCCAGTTAAAAACCCGAGTCACTATGGAGTCCCATACAACTAACCATGTGCTTTGCTCGGTATAAAATGGATTATGGTAGATTCTGTAACCGCCGAAACTTCCAGGGAATATTTATCAAAATTACAACTGTTCACGTCCCTTGGCCCAGCAATTCCACTTCTAGGTGTTTGTCCTACAGGTGTACTCACCCACAAACAAAATGATCTGTGCATAATATTGGTCATTGCAGCATTTGTTTTCGTAGCAAAAGAGTGAAAACAACCTGAAAGACCATCATTTATTTATTTCTTCATTCAATAAAGGTTCATTGAATTCCTGTTATGTTCTGGCACTGTTGTGGGTTCTGGGATCCAGCAGATAAACTTCCTGGCCGTGTTGGAGCTTATATTTTAGTAAAAGGAGACAGATAATGTAAGACAAAGGAGTTGTTGGATGGTGTTACTAAGGAGAAAAATAAAGCAGAGAAAGAAGGATTCGGGGCACTGGGGAGAGTGTTGCTTACTAGTGTGCTCAACGAAGGCCTCCCCGAGAAGGTGATATTTGAGTGACGACTCGATGGAGGTGAGGGGGCAGGCCATGTGGATAGTTGGATAGTATCCCATTCTAAACAGACAGAACAATAAATGAAGAGCCCTTAAGTTTGTACGTGTCTGTCATTCTCAAAGAGGCTGTTGTGGCTGGAGTGGGAGGGGAGAAAGATAGGACCTGTGGCCACGGGGCCAATGGGGAGCCAGAGCAGGAGGGTCCTGTAGGCCAGGTAAGGACTCTGGTGTTTCCTTGGGGTGAAATGGGGGCCACTGGACAGTTCTGAGCAGAGGAGTGACATGATCTGACTTCCGTCTTCTGAGGATCACTCTGGTTGCCATTGAGAGTCTGAGGGAGCAAGGGTAGACTAGGGAGAAGCCTCCATCCAGGTGCTAGAATTCATCCAGGTGGGAGGTGACTGGCTGGAGCCCAGGTGATGTCAATGGAAGTGATGAGAAGTGGTCAGATTGAGGCTATATTCAGAAAGCAGAGTCAACAGGATTTGCTGCTGGATTGGATGTGAGATGTGAGAGAGAGGGTGACAAGCGTGACTGCAAGGCCTTTTGCCTGAGCAACCAGGAGGATGTGGTTGGGGGGAACAGGTTTGGTGAGGAAGACCGAGAGTACTGATTTGAACGTGGCAGGTCTAAAACATCTAAGAGATATCCAAGTGGAGAAGCTGAGTAGGTGGTTGGATAGATGAGTCTGGAGGTCACGTGGAAGTATAAATTTGGGAGTCTGAGAATTTAAAGTCGTGGACTGGTTACAATCACATAGTGAACATAGAGAAGAGGACTAAACACTGA